AGCAGATGTTCCTGGAGAAAAAAATAGCGCTTGAATAAAACAATTCTTTGCATGGAGACACATCTTCTTCAGAGCCTTAAATGCACAACCCCCCCTTCTGTTTTCAAGAAACTGACAAATGGGTGAGAAGCCCGCCCTTGGCCTCCTTGCCTCCTTTCAGAATTCTACTATCTTTTATTTTTATTTTAAATATATCTTTATTGATTTCAGAGAGAGGAAGGGAGAAGGAGAGAGAGAGAAACATCAATGATGAGTCATTGATCGGCTGCCTCTTGCATACCCCCTACTGGGGATGGAGCCCGCAACCTGGACATGTGCCTTGAGCTGGATCCAACCGCAATCCCCTGGATCATAGGTTGATGCTCAACTGCTGAGCCACGCTAGGCCGGGCTGAATTCTACTATCTTTTATAAGGGACTTGAGTTTTAAGGGAACTTAAGCTTTCCAAAAAGGGCTATATTTTTATTTTATAATGATGCCCTAGCTTAGAGTTTAAAGAAAAGGAAAAGCTGAGAATTTTAAAAATACCATTAGAAATAATTCCAGCCCTAATCAAAAGAAAGAACTGAATACCAATCCTGAGAGGACATTCTTATCTAGAGGAATGCTTACTGAGATTAGACTCCATTTTATTTTTTTAATTTTTATATATTTCTTAAAATATATCTTTATTGACTTCAGAGAGAGGAAGGGAGAGGGAGAGAGAGACAGAAACATCAATGATGAGAGAGTCATTGACCGGCTGCCTCTTGCACGGCCCTGACTGGGGATCGAGCCCACAACCCGGGCATGTGCCCTGACCGGAAATCGAACCCCGAACCCCTGGATCCTAGGTCGATGCTCAACCGCTGAGCCATGCCCGGCCGGGCAAGACTCCATTTTAAACAGTAATATATGTATTTAAAATTTTTTTTTGAAAAAACATGCTAAAATATGGAAGAATTTAAAGACTAGAAGTTAGTTATAAATTATGGTGCACAATCGAGAATATTGGGGGATTTCCTGGCATTTGGTAGCAAAGAGCTGCCGTGATTGAGCTAAAATGTTTTAAGTTCACCAGCCACTGCTCTGTGGCTTCCTTTCCGCTACTTCCCTTAGGTTGCCAGGAAACCTTCTCCTCAAGTCCAAGTTGAAATGTTCAGAGCACAGGGGAAGTCCAAACCCGATCTCCTGGTTCCTGGTTCCTATGCCCCTCCGGAGTCTGGCGAGTTTCTAAATACCTGAGCACCTTCTTTGTAGGTGGGTGTTTGTGCAGCTCACACACTCTCCTCTGCCGCCCCAACATGCACACTTAGGGCAAGGACCAGCCCGAGCCTCGTGGGTCTATTAGGAAGAATATGTACGGCTACTTGCAGTGGTTATTTTGCAGAGTGCGAAATGTTTACACTGCTGAGGTACATCAGAAATATGATCAGGGTGAAGGTGTTGATTGGTTATATAGTAAACAACTAAACATAATTACCTTTTAAAGATCTACATGATACATTACCCACAATGGGACTGTGCAGTTTGGGGCCGACCCAGGAACCCTGAGACTTGCCCGAGGTTATCTGGGTAATGAACTGTTCCTTCCTCTCCCCACTACCCTCCCTGAGGAAGGGAGGAGTAGCCTCCAGTGTTATTCAGTAATTGACAGTACAGACTTTGAAGCTGGATGGCCTGGGGTTTAATTTCCAGCTTTGCTACTTTCTAGCCATGTGACATTTGGAACCCACATAACCTATTTCTTCATTTTCCTTTTCTGGAAAATACAAATTAATATTACTATATACCTCATGAAGTTGTGAGAGAAAACTACATATATATACATCCTTACACATGTGTGTGCACACACACATGTATATATACTTATATACATATGCTCATTTAGTTCTCTCTATTTTTAAGTTAAATTAAGTTTTATTTTTTTTTATGCCCTCTTCCAATCCTACCTCTCCTCCCCCACGCCAGCTGTTGTATGTTCTTTTCTCTTTTTCCCCCCCTTTTTTAAAAGATTTTTTTTCTAAGATATTCTAAGATCTGTATCACCTAAAGTAAGGCCTGAAACATTTTAAGTGCTAAGTGATCCTCAGTATCACTGGGAAATTGGGTCATTTAGCTAGAGTTGGAATTCTGTCTGTGAACAAGGAATACTCCTCACTCTCCAAGGCGATGTTTCTTAACCCATCTCACAGTGGACTCATGGAGAGAGACCAGTTAACTCTGTTTTTTCTCTAACAATACAGAATAAATTTTCTCTGCTCCTTCCAAAATGTTAGAATGCACGAATGCACTAAGGGAGTAGTATCTGGCACCATAAATCCCCTGCATAAAGCTTTACTGTTTAGAAATGTCCTTGCTTGCTCTTTCGAAATAGATAAGGGAACTAGTGAGCACAGGTTTCCCATGAATGGAGAGCACAATACCGGAGTATACTGTGACCGACTACCAGGGTTCCATTTCCAACACTTATCCCAACCATTGACATTGGCATAGTAACAATTCAGTCACTACTTAAAATTTGCCCATTGTTGTGGCCCATTTGTGAAAGAAATCCAAAGGAAATTTCCAGCAATGATATCTTTATTAATAACTTTTGTCTGTTTGTTAGTTGAATTATTTGTTTGATTTTTCTCACTTGCAAATGGGAACATTGATGAGAAAAGGTAGATTAGCTAATGGATCTGAACAGCAAAGTCCCTGAGATCGGAATTTGAGAAACATCAAAGAGTTCAGAGTACCTGGAGTGTAAAAAGCAAGCATAGCATGAACTGAAAGTAGAGATAAAGAGTAGCCTGGATAATGCGTATACACAGCAGGCCATTGTCTGAACTAGCTGACTGTCATTGTAAGGATTTATCTTACAATCTTCCTGAGATGAGAAGCCTTTGGAGGATTTTGAGCAGAGGAATAACATGTTCTGTCTTTCATTTAAAAAATATCATCTTGTTTGGTATGTTAAATATAGTATCCAAGGGAACAGAGTAAAGCCAGAGAAAACAGGATGCTATGGGAATGATAAAAGTGAAAAATGATGGACAGCGGGGGTGTTAAGAAATGGTTGAGTCCTAACAGGTGTGGCTCAGTTGGTTGGAGTGTCGTCCCCTACACTGAAAGGTTGCGGGTTCAATTCCTGGTCAGCGCGTACCTAGGTTTCAGCTTCAATCTCCAGCCTTGGTTGGGGTGTGTGCGGGAAGCAGCCCATTGATGTTCCTCTCTCACACTGATGTTCCTCTCTCTTTCTCTCTCCCTTCCCCTCTCTCCCTTAAAATCAATGAACTTGTCCTCCAGTGAGGATTGAAAACAAAAAAGAAATAGTTGAATTCTCCAAATACTTTAAAAATAGAACCAAAAGGATTTGATAACGCATTGATACATAACAGAAAGAAAGCAATCAACTTTGACTTCTGTGTTCTTTTGACCTGAGCCAACAGGAAGAATTCTGGAGTTTCCATTTACTAAAGTGAGATAATAGGTTATCACCAGAGAAGTGAGTGCAAACAGAGAAGTCCAAGTACTGAGAATGAAAGCACACTTGGAAGAGTTGAGAGGTACATGCAGTCACTGAGATTTAGAACAAGTTGCCCAAGAGGTGGGAGTCTAGGATTACTTGATGACCTGGAGACAAATGAAGAATTATTTTAAGGAAGAGAGAGTGACTGATTGAATTTAACAACATAGAGATTATTATTAACCTTGATAAGACAATATTGGTAACTTATGAATGAAAAATTTGGACTAATTGGAGTAAATATAAAAGAGAATGGAGTGAGAAAATAGAGATAGCAAGTACAGAACGTTCTTGGGAGTAAGCTGAAAGGAAAATGATGTCAAGAATGCTTTGTTGCATTTTGCTTGCTATTTGTTTTTTAAGATGAGTGAAAAATCCATTTGTATGTTAATAGGAATGATCCAGTAGAGAGGGCAAAATTGATGACCCAGAATTGAAAGGAAAGAACTCCTGGAGTAAAGCCCTTGAGAATCCACAGAAAGGTGGGACCAAGTGCACAAATAGAGGGAAACTGGTGTGGCTCAGTTGGTTGGAGTTCTCTGCTCAATAAGATGCTTGTTTGTAAGCATTCACATGAGCATCGTTGCCTCTTGGCCTTGAGGAGATATCAGATGAAACGATAGCAAGTACCAGCAATGGATGGATTCAAGAGTTTATTCCAGAGACATCAGCACATTCTTTTATTTGTACATAGTACAGAGATGACCAATTTGAGACCACAGATGGAGCATATATATTCATTACATTTAATATGAACTTTCAAGTCCTTTTACTTATTTACTCAGAAAAATCATTCCACAATTGCTTTTTAACAGTTTACTGCTCTGTGTGTGTGTGTGTGTGTGTAGCATGTTCTCCTAGTTGCCTGTTATTTTCTTATTCCTCAGCATAAGATAATGTAATTTGCCAAACTACAAAACTCCCATTTTGAAAAATTCCTGGTAGTCCTAGAAAATGAAACACAAGAAGTCTACTGGTTGAAGTTCCTGGGATAGCTTCTGATTTCCTGATAAAATGGAATAGCCTTAAGTGTAACTCATCTTTTGCCATCCCACATTTCTGCCTAGATAGAATATTCATGTGAACAGTTATGATAAAATGACATCATAATGAAGCAATCACTATTGAAAAGAGTTGGCACGTAAATCAGAAATTAGATGTATTTCAAACATAAATGTGCTTTGATTAAAACCTTGACATTACTTAGACAAGCAAATTAAAAAAAAAAATAAAAAAAGAGTCTGTAAGAAAATAAGATATTTTAAGAAGAAAGATTAACAATGTTAAGAGGAAAAATCTTACAGAGCTAGCAGATACAGTGTGGAAAATTGAATGAAATTCCTCAGAGTAAAAAGGAAAAGCAGAAAAGTGACCATATATAGTAAGAATTATGATGTTATATGTGGCTCCTATATGAACCATTCCAAGAAAGACCAATTTCTAATGTCTAGATTTTCTCATGTCTTGAGATTTACTTTATTTTAAAAATATATCATTGATAAGTATTTTACTATAGATATTCACTTAGCCAACTTATATACTGATTTATCATCCTGGAGCTAATTTTAAATTTCAGTAAAAGAAATGATCCATGGAATCCATCTTCAATGTGGTTATGGGTCACTGGAACTCCAGCATTTTGAAGTCGGGTGACGTACATGATTCCATCGTCTCTTAAGACATCATATTCACAGGTGATGACATGAGTCCGAGGTAAACCACGTAGCTTCTTGTCATCAGCCAAGAGGGGGGCTGCCCTCACATCCAGGAAACCTGGATATTTTTTTGATAGCTCAGACTTACCATAAGTTGGGTTATTATAAACATGTCCTTTTATAAACCTCTCAGGGAGCAAGGAACTCCAATTAACAAATTTGAATAGATGACTTGATTCCACAGGTACATGTTGGTGGGAAAGCATGGCTTTCTCAAGTGATCTATCAGTTGTAAAATACTCACTCCAGTGCCTGACCATGACGGATTTGAACAGAAGTGGAAAATGTGAATGTTCTCGATATGATGGTGTATCTACATCAAGAGCCTGAAGGACAGGATAAATTAAAGACTGGGTCTTGAGTTTAATCTTGACATCTGGGTCATCTAGAAGCTGAGAAATAATTAAGATTACTTCCTCAAAATCCTTTCATTTTAAAACAATAAAGCAACCTTAACAAAATGAGCTATATAAAAATTCATACTCTCAGAAAAACAGTAATAATTGAAATATACCATCTCAACAAACTTTCAAATATTAAAAATGGGCTTCTTTAACTAGATAGCCTTTAATTAAATGATACTTTTTAAAACTAAAGTACAGATCATGTACCATATTACATGAATTTCAGGTGTACAACCTAGTTATTCAACATTTATACACCTTACAAAGTGATGCCGGTATGAACCTAATGATCTGCCACCATACAAAGTTATTATGATACTATTGGCTGTATAGTCTATGCTGTGCATTAAGCCCCTGTGACTCTTTTATAACTAAGTTTGCACCACTTATTCCCTTTCACACACCCACTCCCCACCCCTTTCCTCTGGAAACTATTAGTTTGTTCTCTATATCTCTGAGTCTATTTCTGCTGTGTTTTGTTTTTTAAATTCCACATGTAATTAAATCATATGGTATTTGTCCTTTCTAGTCTGACACTTCACTTTCACTTAGTATTCTACCCTCTAGATCCATCCATGCCATCACAAATGGCAAGCTTTTATTCTTTTTTATGGCTGAGTAATAATCCAGTGTGTGTGTGTGTGTGTACATCATGTCTTCTGTGTTCATCATTCCTCTATTGATGGACATTTAGGTTGTTTCCATATCTTGATGATTATGAATAATGCAGCATACATCTTTTTTAATTAAGATATTTTTGTTAGAATAAATACCCAGAAGTAGAATTTCTGGGGTATATGGTAGTTCTACTTTTAGTTTTTTGAGGAAAAGGGTACTTCTAATTCAGGGAAATGATTAGAAAGTAAATGTCCTATCCTTTCTACCGAGAATAACAGTCAGAAGAACTGTATAAATTTTAACTTTTTACTCTTCTGTTAGTGTGGAAAGTATATTAAAATATACTAGTATACCAATAAGCTGTGCCATGGAGAGGCAGGATCACTTAATAGGGATTTCTGACTTGGCTTTGGTAGTAAGTGACATATTATTTTTGATTTCTGCAGATTTTCTGTGTGAAACATTCCATTCAAATCATTCTTTCCTATTCAGGCCTGAGTACTAGTATTTGTAAAGGTTAGTGGTCTGCAGAGAGAGGTGTACAGATATCAGAGAAAGACAAAAATGTGACCATAGTTAGAATAAAATTAGAAGATATATTTTAATTTTTGAAAACATACACAATAAAATGTAGTTTTATGTGTTTCCAAAGAACATGATATACTATATGGTAAAAGATGTATATAGCTTCTACATAAAAATGAAGAGTTTAGTGGATCTCAAATAGTTTGCAAATTGTGGTGTTTATCCACCTTGTAACTATAATGGCCAAAATAGACCATTTTGGAGACTTTGTAGACCATTGCTAATGATCATTAAAGCTTACCAGATATTTTTATATAAATTTATGCATGTGACCCTCAAAACTACTCTGTGAAGTTAAAAAGGTTCATTTTGCTTCATAGATGAGGAAATGGGTGCTTACAGAGTTTAAGTTTAAGCCAAGATCACACTAGAAATTACTACATCTCAAGAAAATCCACGTCTCCTAATGTCTAATCTAGTGCCTTTACTGCTATATTATGAAACCTGTAGCAATGCTCAGAAATACTCTCTGGGAAGTTTTGAATTCCTCTTTCATATTGTGGTTGGAATAAAACCTACCCATAACATTCTTCCCTTTTGAGAATATTGTCCAAAGGACTCTCACTAGAGTCTAAACACTTTTAGTATAAAAAATATATAAGTAACTCCAACAAATGAAAAACATAACAGCAATGTTTTTGATTGCTTAAAATCTTTACTTAATTGAAATCAATTAATGTATACAAACTTCTATATCTGTAGTTCATAGGTAACTTCCCCTTATGGCTCCCATTAATAAATGGGAAAACAGATTAATTTTTAAACAATTAATAGCAGATTTTGTTTTGGTTCAGAGAAACAAAATTTATTTTACATACGACAAGGAATGAAAAGTCTTATTTATTACTATTATTCTATTATCATTATGAAACGACCTATAAAAAGAACTGATTTTATATAAGCAAAGAAATATTTTGAATACTTTACTTTCTAAGTAGCATAGAATTCTTTGAATGTGCTATTAATTTTCTGAAAATAGTGTGATTTTTATGGCAATTAAAAAATACTCATATACTGAAAACTACAAAGCATTATTAAAAGAGATTGAAAAAGATACAGTGAAATGAAAAGATATTCCTTGTTTATGGATGAAAAGAATTAACATAGTTAAAATGGAAATATTACCCAAAGCAATATACAGATTTAATGCAATCCCCATCATGTGGGGATTAATCATATTAACAAGGGGTTGTATCCAAAATATATATATAATATATCCAAAATATATACAACTCAACATCAACAATCCAATCAATTAAAAAATGGGCAGAGGACCTGAACAGACACCTCTCCCAAGAAGACCTACAAATGGCCAACAGATAAATAAAATGATGTTCAGCCTCACTAGCTCTCAGGGAAATTCAAATCAAAACCACAGTGAGATACCACCTCACACCTGTTAGAATGGTGCTTATCAACAAGACCACACCTGGATGGGCCTGGAGAGTATCATGCTCAGTGGAATGTCAGTCAGAAAAAGCAAAGAACCGTATGATTTCACTCAGATGTGGGATGTAAAACTGAACCTCACGGACACAGACAGCACTATGGTGGTTACCTGAGGGAAGGGGCTGGGGAGGGAATGGGGGATAGAGGGGACAAAATACTTGGTGATGGAAGATGACTTGACTTGGGGTGGTGGATACCCAATGGAATATACAGATCACGTATCATAGAAATGTACACTTGAAACCTATACGAACCTTTTAACCAATGTCACCCTAACGATTAATTAGTTGATTTTTAAAAAGAAAAATACTTTACTGGAGATTATTAGACCTATCTGAACCTCTAACAGCAGGGTAAGATTGTTGTATGGTCTTGCAAGTATGTAATCTCATTCACCTGACTAGTATAATATCTTTCTGACACATATATAATTTTATGTCAACAATCTATCATTTCACTAAAAAAGGAAAAACTCCGTGGCAGGAGCACAGATTGGCATTTTTGATGTTTGAAGCATTTCTTCTCAATATTCTCTTTAATATCCCCCCCCCCC